GACAAAGGTAACCTCCAAAATATTCACATGCTCGTTCTCTTTTGAGGAACCATACACCTGCTTATTTTATTTTAACTTATTCCTATCACTTGGTCAATCTTTGTTCCAAGTTAACGACGTAATTGGAAAAGGAGCTATTTGTAGATACCAACGCACCAATGGCAATTGCTGACAATGCATACGCATTGTCAATTATTATGCGGAATATTAAGCCAATTTTTCAAAATGAAAATAAAAAACTTTAAGTTTATTTCTGTCTCATGATATACCATTCCATTAAAATTGTATTAATTGTTTTTTGTAAGTATTTATGACTATATTTATGAGTGATAGCACCAGTAATGCACATACTCATTGGTGTCAGCAAGAGCAGCCAATTGGAAAATACACATTCTGAATTAACAGCAGGTTTACCATTCTAAAGTTTCTTTAAATTTTAATATCGTTGGACATATTAGCACTGACATCAACAAAATTATGTTTGTTTGCATTGTGCTGTACCTATGTGTATAACACTTCCCAATTACTTTAGAAACAATCTGTGTGTCATAATATTCCACTCTATTATGATGATGTGGATCTTCTGAATTCACTTTCTCCACCAAAACATTATAATCTTTGCAGCACAGAAGGAGGCTATTTGGCACATTGTGATTGTTCTGGATCCTTGAAGGAGCAATTCGCCTATGACAACACCAACACACTCATCCCACCACCTTTTTATAGGTAACACTGAAGACATTCTCTTTTCAGATGATAATCCAATTCCATTCTAAAAGCCTTGAACAAAACTGCTTCCGCCAGACTTTCTAGCACAGAATATTCACGATACTGCTGGAGTAAACTCAAATGACTCAAAAAGTGATGATGTTAGCTTGATATCACACAAATCCATCCATCTTCACCATGCAGAAGTGACTTCTCGTGGGTAAGGAAGAAAAAAATAGTAACCATTGGTTGTTACTATGTACTTCGTAGCTGATTGATGAGCAGCAAATGGCACAATGCAACAAGATTGCATATCCATTAAAAACTAGTCTTAAAGCATTAAAACACAGTAACAGATTGAGACAACATGATAATTGCCTTTAAACCATCTGGTAATCCAGGCTGTAAATTTTCTATTTTAAAAAGTAAAACAGAAATTTTGTGCACAAAGAGAGGTACATCTGCAATAGGAAATGGAACAATTTTTCTATTTCAAGACCAATAGTCAGCACGACACATTCCTAAACTGACTGCAATGTGGTTAAACTGAGTCCGATTTTCACTCAAAGCACATCAATTAGAAACCTAAGAAATGGATTTCTCTTTACTCTGATCCAATACATCATTTTACTCCAGCCCAAGGAGAACATTTTTTGTCACCAAGGTGACATTTTTAATGTCTCATATCTTAGTTTTTTTTCTTATTTCGTTCACTTTGTTGCCATGTAATTAGTGCCACATGGAAGTGAATTTAGCCTTCCAAAATAAAATCCAAAATAGCCAACAGATAAAAGGATATTGTAATCACATTATTCCAAGTTGTATTCATCTTAGATTTCAAAGACATAAGGTTTATGTCTAATATCACCGTACTCTGTTGTCAACCCCACATCAACAAACAATGCATAAATGGAACATTTCACTTGCCACATGATGTTCCATTAAAAACTCCGACTGTAATGTGCACGGAATCCTTCAATTCAAAGCTGACCTCAATTTTTTTTTTCAAATTGCTGTATTGCAGCAGCCACAGATCCCTGGCTCTTCATTATGAAGTGACTGCTCAGCTGTGTAGTTTGCTGGTCAGGGACTGTTGACAGCCATTGTTTTAAAGTTAAAGAGGTAAGAAAAAAATCACGTACAGTAGTTACAAAACAATGGTTAGAAGTAAAAACCAAAAGAACTGCAAATGCTGTAAATCATTAACAAAAACAGAAATTGCTGGAAAAACTCAGCAGGTCTGGCAGCGACTATGAAGAGAAATCAAAGTTAAGGTTTCGGGTGCAGTGAACCTTCCTCAGAACTCAGAACGGCTGAAAGGAAATTTTTAAGATGTGGGCTCCTTTCTAGTTTAAAATTGAGATGAAGAGAAATTTATTTTCTGCATAGAATTTTCTACCTCAGACAGCAGTGGAAGCTGAGTCATTGAATATTTTCAAAGCTGAGGGAAGCAGATTTTTGAACATACGGGAGTCAAAGGTTACGGGAGTCAGGCTGAGTGAAGTTGAGGCCTAAATCAGATCAGCTATCATCCTACTGAATTACAGAGCAGTCTCAAGGAGCAGTATAGCCTACTCATATTTCCTATATTCTTATCTGGAGTTTAAAGCAGTCAAAACCAATTCAATTAAATATTTCTTGATAATCCTATACTAACCATAGCACTATATCAGTGCTTACACGCAGAGTTCAAATAAGCGATTGCAAATGGACAAAGTGGTGAAAAGAATTACAATGTGCTTGCTTCAAACAGATGTCGAATTCTTTGCACAGCATAAGTACATTACAAGTCAGTGTCCTTATGTCTCAAATTATTGTACAGCAGTGTTTTAGAACATTTACTAAATAGGAGTTCATAATTAACAAGTGCTACATAGAGAACTCAGCATATCACATCAGTGTTAACTGTGAAAATGTTAATTATTTGGAGCAAATACATTGAACTTACACTGAATAACATTATTGAAACATAAAAAGCAATAATATTTGTTACACTACCAGATATTCTGCTGCAGTAGTGAGCCCTGTGGTGTTACGAAGCAAAATCTGAGGTTATTCTTGCTCGCCTTGAATTAATTTCAACTATTGACATTGCATACTCTTAAACAATATCACTACAAAAGTCTATATTAATAACTGAATATCTGACATAATACACATTAAGGTATTGTCCTGAAACTCTACCTCAAACCTTACATAGGTCAATAGAAAAAAAACCACAGGGCTTTGGGGAGCAATCAGGGAATGAAATTATTAGATAGCTGTCGAAGAGCTAGCATGGGTACAAGGGGCTGAATAGCCACCTTCTGACCTACATAATTCCAGGTTGAGGGCTATGGAAGCAAACTAGTGCATTCCTACTACTCCCTTAACTAAGATCAACTAACTCAGTATAAACTGGTGAGTGAACTTGTCATTTTAGTAACATACTTCTTGGCTTTCTTTCACTTGCTGTAAATATAAACATGTGGTTGTCCTGACAGCTACAAAACAATTGGTGTGGTTAGGTAGACACAATTGCTTACAACAATAATATCCAGTGGTTTTTATAACAGAGTTTTGCAAGAGAAAAAAAAATTTGTGCTAATAACTGCTTTCAAGTTTTTAGCTGCGCATGATGAGCTCACCAGGGACTTTTGAAGCTGCGGTGTCACAATATAGACATTTAATTACTTTTAAAACTATGCATCTGTGAGTTGCATTTATACACACCACATATTGATAAGAATCAGTGAACAACTCACAAAATGGCACATGGTTTTTACTTATGAAGCTCTGCTTTTTAATCACTCATTTGAAAAGAAGCAAATTAAGCATTTACCCATGTGAAAGGCCTAGATTCTACCTGGAGCCAAATTTTAGTCAGGAATGCTGAGCTTTTAGTTTATCGCCAAGCAGGATAGGATTCAAATGAAGAATACTGACAGTTATTCCTAGACGTATAAAGTGAAATTGCTGAAAGCAACTATTCCTTAATCTTAAGTGAAGTTTTGACTACAAATTTTCCAGCCTTTGCAATTAACTTCATGATTCATCTGATTGTAATACAAGTCTAAAACCAAATTAACACGATTTAAAATATATACACAAATAGTAACTTGATAATCCAACTTCTTTTTGCCTCCGATGGTCACCATCCAATACAGAACATGCATATAAAGACGTGATTCTCCCTGGCCTGATGTTATTCACTGATGTGAGCACCAACAGGTCGAGCTGAATCACTTAAAAGGCAAAATCATCTGCAAGCAACTGCCATGAGATAAAGCAACCCAAAGCCCCACCACTATGGACTTGCCTCCCACCCGAACACCCACAACAACCACTCTGCTTCAAAGCAAATTAAAATCTATCGCACTTCTTCTTGTTACATGCATCCAATGGCTTTTTCTCCAAACTTAATTTTTCAGGAATTTGACTATTGCAAATGTAGGTTTTGTTCCAAAATTAAAATTTAGCAATTTTAAAGCATACATTCCCTTTTACTACTATCTTGGTCTGGTCTTGGCTTGGCACGTGAACCAGCAACTACAACCCTTATTACATTCTGCATCTTGAGCAAAATAATTTCCTTCTGATCCCAATAGGGAGGCAGTATTGTATTAACAGTTATGCCATCTACTAGTTCTAGGCATGTTTCGTGTTATTCAGCCATAAAATATGGGCTGCTGAGCAATACTTTTTTAAAAAAAGTTTTATTTGCATGAAAAGTCAATCAATTTGTGCCCAAAATCATTTGACACATCACATCCTTGAACATTAGGCAATTTAAAAAGTCTAATTACAAACTAAAATCATTATTTTCTTTTGGAGATTTCTTGGCTGACTCCAAACATAAAACCTTTAAACGCTTCTTTGAAGTGACATAATTAAGGGAAAAATACTTTGCATGCTCTGAAAAGATTCACTGACAAATATGGTGGTTATTTCGTGCATTACATTTAATATTAATTAGACAAGACAAACTCCACTTACTGTAATAATGAAATCAGTAAAACATTCATGCATGTACACTAGGCTTAAGACTAAACATTAGTACATTCAGACCATATAGTTCATTTAATAAACTCCATATGGAATATTTTAAATAATTAGAACCTCGAAGCCCTACACATCATAGCAGCAAGAAGCTTTCTATTTCCTGATAAAAGGCTTTTTCATCTTCCTATTCTGAGCATTCAATGCAATACACTACATCTCTCTGTACTTTCTATAAGAAACAGCTGTTACTAGGTTAACTAGCTAGCTTGAGGCCAACACATGCCCCAGTCATTACTTTCAGTATTATTTACCTCTGTGAATCCCTCTTGCAGAACATCCAGTAAATTTCCTTTGGCTAGGCAGGCAATCATTTTAATTAAAGTTCCAAGATCAAGCAGAAGACAACGTGAAAAGAAATTCAGACGCCCAAATAGAGAGGATCTTGCCCTCCAAAAAAGCACGGTTAAGAAACTAAGAGAAGGCAATTTCTTCCCATTCCATACGTGCAAACTGTTACCTTCATTTAAGCAGGATAAGAGTATCAAAGACTGCAGAGTAGGAGAGGGAACAGAGTGAGCATGCTCAGCAGCCAACCAGTCATGTTTGAGAGGATTAGGCATGACAGAATTGTCATGACGACAGTTCGCCACAGGATGAGGGGGTGGGCACTGTCTGAAAAAGCAACCCACAACAGATGGTGAGTTTTCAAAAATCATTTTTGTTTTAAAACGACACATTGAATCTAACAAACCTTCTGCCTGCAAAGTAAATTGCTCACATCTGAAAAGAAATTAATCATCTAAGTTGAAAACGTTTAAACTGGTGTAGAATACAGGGAACTGTCAGCTAATTTCTATACATTAAAGTGACACAATCTAATTTTAATACTTTAAGCCCCAGCACTAAGATGCACAACTAGCTAATTGTATTTACGGTAGTTAATTATGTAGATAATTAAAAGTAGGTAACTGTATATTTTGAAGACTCATAAACTTTGAACTTCTGGATTTCACACCCCATCTATCTTGTGAAATCAATCTATCTTTGAATATTATTTCCAAAACAACCCAAAGGTGTTTATTCTTCCTTGCTTACGTTGTTTCTCAGGATCTGGAATAACTTGCTTCCGCACAAAATTGAAGGATTCTGAAAAGGTCAAGTCCAATGTATGATCAGCAGTCTCAATCACAGGTAGGGTCTTCGGTACAAGGATTGTTTAGATGTTTGCGTGCTCCTTCCAATTTCTGGACTATGCCTCTGTGCTCTGAAGTGTTTTGGTGTCTTTGGGCCTTCCCAAAACTGCATCCTCCACTTTAGTAGGCCAAAAGTCAGGATGTCCTAGGAGTCTGCAAGGATGTTTGACCTATTCAGGAATGCTTTGAGAACATCCCTAAAGCAGTTTGGCTGTTCTCCTGGGAGTCTCCTGTCACAATCAAGTTCTGACTAGAGCAGTTACATTGGGAATTTGGTGTCAGGCACACAAATTATATGTCCAATACTGCAGAACTGATTTTGAGCGATTAGCGCCTTGATGCTGGGTAAATTAGCTTTGGAGACAATGCTGCTGTTGGACACCATTCTTGCCACTGTATTGGCAGGATATTACAAAGGCACCATTGGTGGTACTTCTCCCATGTTTTGAACTGCCTGCAAGGGTTGTTCAAGTCTTAGAAGCATACAGAAGCACAAGCATCACTGCTGGCTAACAAACTTTTGGTTGACATTTCTGAAGAAGGGTCTAGGCCCGAAACGTCAGCCTTCCTGCTCCACTGATGCTGCTTCGCCTGCTGTGTTCATCCAGCTCTACACCTTGTTATCTCAGATTCTCCAGCATCTGCAGTTCCTACTATCTCTGAAACTTTAATCTTACTCTGTTTTGTGATCTGATGTCGAAAGTACTCTTTTTTTCTGTCAACAGAAGGCTGAACTGAAACCCTGGGAGCCATTGTCCTCACTGTAATACCGCACCTCACCTGCAAAAAAATACCTACATGCTTGGAGATAATCTGCAGAACAGATGCCAAACTGTTCAATCCATGCTGCCTTCGATCCAAACCTGAAACCGATTCAACCTCAATCATAGAACTTCATTGTACAGATGATGTCAGTATGTGCTCTCACATAGAAACGGAGTTCCAAGTCATTGTCCTCCTTCAAAGCATTTGAAAAAGAAGTGGACCTTTCTTGAAACACCCAGAAAGCTAAGGGTACAATTTTTTTTTATCTCTGTAAATGGTGCGATGGAGAAAACAATTTGGCAAGTTTGGTTGGAGAGAAGGTCATCCCTTTATTGCTAGAGATAACAAGGTGTAGAGCTGGATGAACACAGCAGGCCAAGCAGCATCAGAGGAGCAGGAAGGCTGACATTTCGGGCCTAGACCCTTCTTCAGACCCTTTATTGCCATTTCAGTATTTAAGTTCAGGCTCAGTAAGCCTATGGGCATTGTGCCATGTAATTTTTCCTGTTGTAGCACAGACCTCTAAGGACTGTGGGTGTTGCATAGTTTCTGCTTTCAGAAACTGTATCAGAATGCCAATCTGCACATGTGCAGCATCATGGCGGCTAAGAGAGATTGTTGCCCATGGGCAGCCTTTTTCTTAATTTAACCTATTTTATCATTAACCTGTTCAGAGAAGTTATTACACACCTCTAGAGCAGGTGGGCCTTGAAACCAGTCTTCCCAGTCCAGGGTTAGGGACACTACTACTGTGCCAAAAGGGCCCCTCATTGGCAGCCTTCTTGACCAATCACTAATTAAAGCTCTTAAGAAGTTAATTAATGGCCATTTAAGGGCCTCAACTCAACATCTTCCCAAATGCCTGCCCTTCTACCTGGGAAGGAAGACAGCTGGCTTCCCAACTGTGAATACAAGGTGACCTACTTGCCAGCCTTGAGGCAAACTTGCAAAATCAGAGAAGGAATCCCAAAATTCGTTCTTCCATAGATGGTCTTCAAATATTCCACTCGCAATCATAAGAACACAAGATCTAGGAGCAGGAGCAGGCCATCTGGCCCCTTGAGCCTGCCCCGCCATTTAATAAGATCATGGCTGATCTTTTTGAGACTCAGCTCCACTTACCCACCCACTCACCATAACCCTTAATTCCTTTACTGTTCAAAAATTTATCTAGCCTTGTCTTAAAAACATTCAGCGAGGTAGCTTCAACCGCTTCACTGGGCAGGGAATTCCACAGATTCACAACCCTTTGGGTGAAGAAGTTCCTCCTGACCTCAGTCCTACATCTGCTTCCCTTTATTTTGAGGCAATGCCCTCTAGTCCTAGTTTCACCTGCTAGCGGAAACAACCTCCCTGCCTCCACCTTATCTATTCCCTTCATAATCTTATATGTTTCTATAAGATCTCCCCTCATTCTTCTGAATTCCAATGAGTATAATCCCTGTCTACTCAGTCTCTTCTTGTAATCCAACCCTCTCAACTTTGGAATCAACCGAGTGAATCTCCTCTGCACCCCCTCCAGTGCTAGTATATCTCTTCTCAAGTAAGGAGACCAAAACTGCACACAGTAATCCAGGTGTGGCCTCACCAGGACTCTATACAGCTGCAGCATAGCCTCCCTGTTTTTAAACTCCATCCCTCTAGCAATGAAAGACAAAATTCCATTTGCCTTTTTAATTACCTGCTGCACCTGCAATCCTACTTTTAGCGATTCATGCACAAGGACACCCAAGTCTCTCTGCACAGCAGCGTGCTGCAATTTTTCACCATTTAAGACATAGTCCATTTTGCTGTTATTCCTACCAAAATCGATGACCTCACACTTACAAACATTGTACTCCATCTGCCAGACCTTTGCCCACTCACTTAAGACTATCTATATCCCTCTGCAGACTTTCAGTGTCTTCTGCACACTTTGCTCTACCACTCACCTTAGTGTCATCTGCAAATTTTGACATACCACACTTAGTCCCCAACTCCAAATCATCTAAGTAAATTGTAAACAATTGAGGTCCCAACACTGATCCCTGAGGCACACCACTAGCCACTGACCGCCAACCAGAAAAACACCCATTTACCCCTACTCTTTGCTTTCTACTGGTCAACCAATCCTCTATCCATGCCAATACAATACCGTACAACTTTATCTTATGTAGCAGCCTTTGGTGTGGCACCTTGTCAAATGCTTTCTGGAAATCCAGATACATCACATCCACAGGTTCCCCATTGTCCACCATGCAAGTAATGTCCTCAAAGAATTCCACCAAATTAGTTAAACATGACCTACCCTTCATGAACCCATGCTAGGTATCAACAATCAACTTAACCATTCTAGTCAAGGATCTGAATATCACAACTTGAAATGGTGATCAACGTACGTATATGTAAAGTGAAGGGTAGTATGTAAAGTATGTAAAGGATATTTAAGGGAGAAACATTGTGTGGCAATGGTGGTGTTGGTGGCAGTGTATTATAGTTCATTCAGGGAGTCTAAGTTGCTCTGGCAACATGAACTTTACATCCATGTTGTAGTCTTGTGCTATGATTAGTGATGGTGCAGGGTGCAACATTCTTTCCATCACATGGATGACAAGGAAACTGGTCCATGTGCCCCTGTCACAGCGAAAATGGCAGACATGGACAAAATTCATAAATTGTGTCACCAACCACAGAACCTGCCATTTATTCAGTGGTGTAAATGAGAACGGGTTATGTTTCATGCATGTGCTTTCACTCGTGTTAGACAGCCATATAAAATCAGTAGCCACCCTCACTCCAGACAGTGTTTAGATTTGGTGATCTTGGTATCTGAATACAAGGTGGACAGATTGGATTTGGTTGGAGCAGGTCTTAACTCCTTTATGTCTTTGTACAGACCTTTTTGAAGAGATAATATAACTCTCTGGATATGTCCTCAGGGCACATTTAAGGGAAGTCAAGTTCCTTTTGATGGAGGTAAGGTGCCCTTTGTGATTGCTAAAAGCAGGCATGAGTTTGCATAACAAAACATATAAACTCACGGAACTGTGAAGCTCATTGAATGGTCAGAAACAATAGTCAAAATTGTCAAGAGGAACTGTCAAAAACAACTAGCAAATGTGTCAAGATGAACTGTTAAGAAGAACAGTCAAAACACGTTTCAAATAGGTCAAAAAGGAACTACAAGAAATACCTACCAAAGAAAGCTGTCAAGGCATTTAAAAGTCCTACCCTTTAAATCTTCAAAAAGAAATGTTTGGCGTATTTTTTAAAAATTCATTATTCTTGAGGGCTTCCATTACTGCATTATTGCTGAGTGACTGATTTCACAACTAACCATTATCACAGTAGATTTACTGACTGTTTTCAAGAGTAAAGTCAATAAAAAACAAATTAGGAAAACCATAAAACCAGCTAGCAATTGACTGTTGGCCATTTTATACTATTACCCAATGTCAAAACTGATCCCAAAATCTTTATTTTGTGACACTCCTCTATGCTTCAAAAGAAATTACATAACAATTGCTGTATTGTGGAACTGATTCAAAGGAAATTTAATGACTAACTCTAACACATTGTGCCAAATTAATTCTGTTCATACTGACTGCGGGACCAGATTTTCGAAGTGCAATTAGGCAAAATCTGAGTCGCATAACTCAGCTGCATCACTCTCACAAGGCAATATTTGAATGCAAATGGCCTATCTGATCTGGAGCTAGCTCAGCACCCGAATAGTTTTGCTGAACATCCCCAAAAGATGGAGGCTGCCTCCCTGCCAGAAGAAAATGCAGGATATAGCCAAGTTCTGGCTGCCAAGACTTTGTCAATCAAAACAGGCAATTCCTAGAGGTGGAACATGGCGGAGAGTGAATATACGTAACAAGATTAGGTCGGCACAACATCGTGGGCCAAAGGGCCTGTACTGTTCTATGTTCTAAGATTGTGAGCAGTGCTTGTGCCAGTTTTGTTGTGCTAGTTGGCCTAACAGATTTGAATCAAAGCAAACTGTAAAAGAAAGCCATTCTGAAGAAGGGTTAGTGGACCCAAAACATTAACTCTGGTTTCTGTTTACAAATACTGTCAGACCCGCTGAGTTTTTCAAGAAATTTCAATTTTTTGTAAAATAAATTTACCTGGGCTTACAACAAATCCAACAGCTTTACACTACCATGTACAAGATACAGATCAAAAATCTTTAAATAGTAAATCCAAATGGACAAGTTCCTTTTCAAGTTCCTAAAGATTCATTAATTGCTGGCAATTGTATTTCCTGCACACTCTTTGCAGTCAGGCATCTATGTATGCACAAGATCTGTAAATGTGCAGTGATTAAAACTCAAAAACATAACTTGCCTTTCAATGTTGGTCAGGAGGAACCTATCCTGGCAATGCCATAACAACATTTCTGGTTCTTTATAACTACTGAGAGTTAAACACATCCATGCCCAATAAAATGGCAGCTGGAGACAAAACCAACTTACAATGTATGATCCCAGCATGTAGAAACAAATGGGATGCCTTGTACTACTATACCAGACAGCACTTGTCATGATTAGAACCAGGTGGACCTCACTGACTACGAGATCCTTCATTGGGGTTGTTAACCTGGGCCAATCAGGAAGCCCTCACTGACCAAAGTAACCAGGGGATTTAGAATCCCCTCAGTTCCAGGAGACTGACTCCTACACGACTGGCCACAGCCAGTTACTGTGCACAGGTAAATAAAGGGTGACTTGATGACGGGATACTAGCCTCTGTGTAGTTATTTCAGTGGCGATGAGAGTGGGATTAATGCAATATCCATGCAGAAACGCCTACTAGCTGAAGCTCAACTGGACTTCAAACTGGACAACAACTGACATTATCATTAGAAAATGAGGCAAGTGGAGCATCGAAGCTACAGGACATCCCAATGGAAGTGGACACCTTCACCTGTCCAACTGAGCTTGGGGAGCACCACTTGAGTGTTGCCAGCATGTGGACACAAGACAGCAAAGGAGTCCTACAAGGCTTCACTTGAGTAAGAAAACTCTTAGGCTAGCATCTAGCAGAGTGCACACCCAGGAAAGACCCCCTACATGGGGGTTGGAGCAATTAAATTGCTTAGCAAAATCCAAATCTGAACCTATTAAAATTAATGTTTGATTAAATGGTCACCAAGTTCCCACGGAGGTCGATACCAGCACAGCTCCATACCATACGTCGTCCAATGGTCTGGCAGAAAGAGCGATCCAAACATTGAAGGCATGCTTAAAGAAGCAGCCTACAGC